GTCGTGTTGCACAGCGAAGGCGCTGGGCAGAACCTGCCAGTCGTCGGTGCCCCGCACACCGGAGGGTCCCAGCCCCGTGCCTTCACATCTGGCCGAGCTGAGACCTCTGCTTCTGCGCAGGCAGCGAACCGGGGGGTTCAAATGGGAGTCAGTCCTTTGGTCAGTCCTGCAGAGCCCACACAGCCATGGCAGAGCAACCTAGATGGTGCCATCCTGTGAGCAGCTGGCTTGGCTAGCAGTGGTGGACTGAGCATAACAGGCTGCCTTCATCCTCATGCCAGGGCACTACTGTCTGCCTCAATACAGCATCTAGCCCGGTGCCTGCTGGACAAGGCCTGGGCCTAGAGTGCCCAGCCCCGCCGAGCCCTGCCCGCCCTTCCTACAGCCAGCTGAAGGGGGTTTTTTTAATAAAAATATATGCCTTGTACATATATGTGTGTGTCACACACACACCTTCTAGTTACTGTTCGTTACCTCCTTAACCCACCCAAAGAAAACCCATGCACCCATTGCAATACATGCACCCGCGCACCTGTCCGCAAGGCATCGCTTCCCTTTCTACAGCCAGCTGAAGTCTGGCCACTAGCTCCACGAGGAGAGAGACACGGGGGTTCGAGCCATGGGAGGGGACAAGGGGAAAGGGTGGAAACCAGAGGTCTTGCACTGCTCTGGGCAGGGGTGATGGATGCAGCATAGACCTCGTTGCTCCCCACCTCCCTGTGGGTCAGCCTAGGGCTGCCCATGGGGCTGGGGAGGGAAGAGAGTGTCTTATCCTAATCTTAGTAATTAGAGCCTTTCATTATGTCTGGCCACGCACCGGGCCCAGAATAGACCACGGGTCGGCATTAAAGGGTAACCAGGCAGGCTGGGGGAGGTCACTTTGTCCAGGATGTTTAACTGGGTAGGTGCTAAATGCAAGGCAGGACACGCACCGCCGGCTGTTCGTGGCCCAGGGAGGGGAGCGGCGAGGTGAAATTGTAACTAGCAGAGCTCCCTGCCCCAAAGCCAGAGCTCCTGGAGAGGTCTCATATCTCGCCCAACTTCATCCACCACCGAGCACCTCTGCTCTCCCCTTCCCAGGCCGGGCCACGCTCTGCGGAAGAGGTGGAGGATGGTGACCACCTCCATGGTGCTGGGGCTGGCAGTGGCTCCCATGGGCTGGGTCGTGACGCTGGCCGCCACAGTGACCCCTCGGTGGAAGGAGTTCTCAGCGAGACCCGGCTTCCCCCGGGACGTGTCCTTCAGTGACGGGCTCTGGGAGAGCTGCGTGGAGGTGGCAGCCGTGCCGTGCTGGACAAGGCGGCCGTCTCCTGGCCCATGCAGATGCTGAGAGCAATGACGGTCCTCTCAGTGCTCACCGGCGCTCTGAGCTGCTCCATCGCCAACGCTGGGGTACGCTGGTGGACTCGCCCCCTGGACCCTCGTCTCACGGGCACCGCTGGACTCCTGCTGGTCCTCTGCGGGGCCGCGGATCTGCGCACTGTCTCCTACATGGCATATCGCGTGCTAGACAATATCGCCAGCCCGCAGACCCCCGCTGCCGACAAACTCCACATGGGGCCCTGCCTCTACCTGGGCTGGACTGGAGGAGGGTTGGAGATCCTTGCCAGCCTCTGCCTGGCTGCTAATTGCCCAAGGAAGCAGGAGTGAGCCAGCAGCCGCCCCGTATGAAGTGGATTACCGAGACAGGACCTCCCACCCAGCCATCCGGGAGGGCATGGGCTGGTTTCTTCCATGCTGTTCCCTTTCCACCTCTCTCCTTTGGCACCAAATGCCTGCAAGGAGCATTGTATTCGGTGCCCTGTGGCCGCAGGGTGAAAGCTCATCCAGATGTGCGGCGCTGGAATGCGGCTGCCCATTTCCAACCCCTGAGAACAGGTCTGGGCAGGAAGGAGGGAGGCTCTGGCGCTCCAGGGCTGTTTCACTGCAAAATAAATTCACGAACTTGAAATGAGCTGATATTTAAGCCCTTCCGCTGGCTTCCAGTCTTTCTCCATCCTGTGGGTTTGTGTGTCCCCATCTCTCCCCCTCCCCCTCCCAGGTTGCTGGAGAAGCCACTGGCATATGGGGTGGCCACAGCTTGGGAACTGGGGAGAGAGGTTTCCAGCTGTTGCACATCTGTAATGGGCTGGGAGGAGCTGAAGCAGGCAGAAACCCACTGATTTATGTATAAGCCATATCTGTAACCTGGAGGGCAATGAGCACACGTTATGGGACTCTGGTCAGAGCCCCTCTGTATGGCCTTCCCCCCACCAGCCTATTTTGAGAGCAATCTTCCCCAGAGCATCCTGCCACAGGACCTCTCTGGACTCCTCCTTTTTGCCCCGAGCTGAGGTTGCTCAACTGTTGCAGGGCGAGCCCAGGCCCTAGAGAGACAGGGAAGAGCCGACTGAGACCGGAGGGGTGGAGAAGGGCTGCTGCAGAAAGGGATGAGGTAGCAGGAGAAGGGGACCGAATGATTTTCCAAGTACATTTGGCGCCCTGCAGAAGAAGGGGGTTGGGTCCTGATGGCTAGGTGCTCAGAGAGGCCAGTGTCCACCATGAACTGCACAGCAAAGCTGGAGAGAAATGTAAAAACAGGCAGAGATTTTATTTCAATGTATTGGCAGGGCTGGAGCGGCACCAGCTGGGGTTTGAGCAGAGCCAGGTAATGCTCATGGGGCGGCTCAGTCTCTGTTCTCCCCGAGCACTCCGGGCAAGCGGATGCAAAGCCGCTCCATCCCATCCCCTGCTCGTAGCTGGGGAAAATGAGGCACAACACAACTGAAGGACTTGCCCAAGGGCATAAACAAAAATCAGTGGTGGGGCTGGGACACAAATACACCCGTCTACAGGCATCGGCGACAGCAAAGGTGGGGTTCGGCCACAGGACCCGGCCAGGGCCCTTGGGTGCATCCACCTTCTCCCTGGGATGTCACGCCGGGGCTTGGTTCACCCAAAGCTTCTGCAATGTTGAGGGGAAGAGAGCCCCTGGAGCCAAGATGGGTCCGTGGTCCAGCCCAAGTGCTCCACAGCCCCGTTCAACCCGGCCGACACGTTCGTACACGCTCCTTTCCCTGGAGCTCCAGAATTACAAGCGCCCCACGTCCCTTCCGTGACTGCACAGGGGCCTTGAAGAAGCAAATCCTCTATCAACCAACCCAGCGCCTGGGAGTGATTCTGGGGATCCCTCCCAGAGCCCCCAGACTGGCGGGGCAGGCTCCAGGGTGATGCCTGTTCTGGGCGGAGGACTCAAAAAGCCCGTGCCGTGCTCCAGGCCAACGAATGCAGCACCAGCAAGAGGAAGAGCG